CTGCGTCTCACGGTAGGCTCTTGCGAACTGTGCTCGCTGAATACTTCACGAGACTTGCTAATATCGTGAGCGCGTACGATGGTATGGTAGTCGCCTTCCTCGGCGACGCGATGCTCGCTGCTTGGCTCGTTGACTGCACTTCGGAAACCGACGAACGCGTCTTCGATGCAGTTAGACACGCGTACTTCAGCGCTCACAGTATATTGAACCACGTGCACGGATGCACGCTGAGTGACTTCACGGACGTTCAACTGAAACTGATGATCTCCACAGGGCCTGTTGTTCTGCTGCCCATAAGTGCCCGCGAGATGGCAAGCGATGTTCTATTGGCTGGAGAAGCCGTCAATGAGCTGCGAGCGATGAAGAATGAAATGAAGTCCGGGAACGTTATTTTGAACAAGTTGAGTCGAGTTATTCTCACGCGTGCAACCGGTAGCTCATCGTTCACATCGACCAACAGCGCCGTCGATAGATTTCATCGTGAGTGCACGTCTAGTCTAATGAATTACGTCCCTAGACATGCACTGAATGCGTTTTACGAGGGACTAGTCGATGCTAGTGAGTTGAATTCCGTCAGTGAGGAATGCACTATCATGTTTGTTCGTTTCGATCCAGCGCGAAGAGAAATTGACCACATTGAATGGATGCGAACAACCGCGATCCTCATCCGTCGCTGTGTTTCTGAGAACCACGGAACAGTGCGTCAAACGGTCGTCGACGAGAACGGTCCGGCGTGTTTGTCCGTATTCGGTCTTGGGCACGCGCAGAAACGAGCGGCGGCGACTCGAGCGGTACGCTGTGCGCAACAAATCATCATAGCTCTTCGAGACTTGGAAACGAGAGCTACGTGTGGGCTATCCACGGGCATTGTCGACACTGGCACCGCTTGTGTTGTGAGTTCGAGTGATCAATGCGAGATAACTTGCATCGGCGTCCCAGTCGTTCTCGCCGCTAGATTGGCCGAGGACGCCGCCGACGGTACCATCGTGATAGACAAAGAGACCCGAATGCGCGCCTCGACGCGCCTCGTGCATGTCACGCGTGCGTCCGTACATCTGAAAGGCTTCGGTCGACGCGTCTCCATCTTTGTGATCCAACCAGAACCGAGCTATCATGTCATTTAATTCGACTAGAACGCTATTGAAATTGAATTACTAGTACTAAGATCGCTGCGCTTAAATTTTGCACTCCGTTTGTGAGAGACGCGTTGGCTTCTTGTAGCCCCACTCGCACGAACACTCGATCGGATCCTTCATTATCTCACTCACAACTCCGCGATTTGCTTTTCCGCGCTGTTCGCCTTCGGTGACGCCGCAGTGCCGTTCCACAACTCTCGGCTCCCATGGCTTACCGTCGTTGCCGCTACCGCTCCTCGGCTTGCCCTGCTTGATGTGCGCCTCGCGGAAGCAAAAGTACTGATCATGAATGAGAGCATGCTCTACTGCCTCGTCGAAATCTCGGTCCTCTTGGTCGCTGCCAAAACCACACAGCGACCCATCGTCAAGTTTGTCGAACATGATGACGGCGTGCTTCGAGACGGGCTTTAAGGCTTTGAGGGCGTCGTTCGTGGTGAATCCACGAGGAATCACGACATCGGCCGAATTTTCGTGAGCGTCTTCGCCAACTTTCACGTGCACGACATCTTCGCGAATAATTTTGCTCAGCCGCTCGTCTTCGAGGAATCCCGCTTCGCGAAACTCGATGCCGAGTTTCAAAAATCCCTCAAGATTGTAGATGTGATCCATGGGACAGGAGAACGGCAAATGCGCTGTCTCGGCGCCGAGCGCGCGACAGCCCGCGAGCGTGTTCCAAATCTTATCGCAGTAGCAACGCGCCGGTGGGAGCACGAGCGTTCGATTCAACGCCTTGGCGAGAGCCAGTCCGTTGCGCACGGTGACTCGTCGCACCGAGTCCTCTTCAAAGTGACGTGATATCGCCGTGGCGTACGCCTCTGCGTCCACACCAATCGTGCTTTTGCCCTCAAATTTCTTCCATGATCCGCTGGTTGATATCGTCAAATACTTCCCATCACTCCAGTGGTCACCGTCGTCGTCGAGGTACCACAATCCGTGCTGTCGAAGGCGCTGGCGCTTGCCGTACGCGTAGTCGTGAGTGTCTCCGTACTGGTACGTCATGTGCACCGAGTACGGTTCGCCATCCTCTGGGTGATGCACGTGATGTTCTTGCACGAAAAACGTGTGCCCGTTGGAGAACTGTGCGACAGGTAAGACGCCGAGTCGGATCGTGTTGTTCGCCGCGAACAAGAGCGAGCGATATCCCGGAAGTCCACGCTTGTCAGCCGGAACCCTCACCGCAACTTCCAGCGGCGGATGACCGTCTCGAACGAGCAAGTTCAGCGCTGGCTGGTCCCGCATCCACGCGATTTCGCTCGTCGCTACTTTATGCTTCCACTTTTCCACGAACTCCTTCGCGCGTGTCGTGGGACGGATGTACAACACGCCCGTGTTAAAGTTCACGTGGAGACAGCTCTTGTCATCCTTGCGATCCCCCACGGTGTCGATGCAGTCGCTCGATATCAAGATATCCGCGTACTTGAACGTGCCATTGTTGAACACCTCTCTGGGGTCGCGCATCCAAACCACGTCGGCGTCGCTAAGAATGGGCGCGATCCCGAGATCAAGCAAGTCTTGAACGAACTTTGTTTTCACGGTGCCCATTTTCTTAAACGCTTTGCTCCTGCCCGTGATGAATTTCGCATCTCTGTCCAGCAACACCGACCGTCCAGTGAGAAGCATTGACGGAACGCTCGCTCTTTTACACAACTCGTGCATCTCTTCGTCCAGCGCACCGACGAATATCGGCTTAAGATTCAACTTTTTCGCCGCTGCGACCCAGTTGAAGACGAAATCCTGCACGCTCGCCGTCCCAAACGTCACAAACAACTCGTCACCTGCCTCGATCCCGATAGCTTTCAGCTCTTCGGGAACGGTCTCCATCTTCGTATTCAGCTCATTTCTTTCCTCATCACTGAGCGCGTCCACGCGTGCCTTCCACATCGTCTTCATCCATCCAGGACGCGCCGAATCCGCCGTCGCGTGCTCGTGATTCGTATCCGCGCTCACCGGCGGATCCAACAGCTCAAAATCCTCCATTTCCCGAGCATCCGTAATCACCACGCTCTCAACTTCCGGTTCAATCGCCACCGGTCCCGGAGGCGGTCGAATCACCGTCCCTCGCGCGTTCGGCGTCCCGACGACGCCCGCGTCGTCCTCGCGCGTCGCCTCCGCGTCCACCCCCGCCTCGTTCATCCGCCCGCCACCGACCTCGGTCGACGAAACCACCTCTCCTCCCTCCATCGCCGCCCTCTCGTCCACCGACGCCGCCGCGTACCGTGCAGAACGCGTCCCGCGCGTCGCGATTTCATCATCACGCACCGTCAACATCCGCGGCGTCGTCCCCGCACCGCGCGCGTCGATCCGCGTCGCCGTCCAACGCGCCGCCCAGGCGACGCACACCGCGACGAGCGCGCGTCGGCCCCATCTCGACCGTCGCGACGCGCTCGCGCGCATGGCGTCGCGCGATGACGCACGTCGACGCCGTCGCGCGATGGTCGCTTCGTCCGCGCGCCGCACTCGACGACGCCTCGTTCGCGCGCTCGAGGACGACGCCGAGACGACGGCGCGCGAATCATGGACGCGGTGCGCGTCGCTTCGCGCGACGAGAGAGATCGCGACGGGAGAGATCGCGACGGGCGTGGATGACGTTTGGTTTCGGATCCACGTTCGAACGACGCGTCGCGTCCGCGCGCGCGCGCGGCGCGAACGGACGATGCGCGCGAGGACTGACGACGGACGTGTGATCGATGACGCGCAGGCGATCGAGCGATGGTGCGCGGAGATGGGAACGACGCCGGAGAAGGTTGTGACCATGTACCTCGACGAAAAGTTCAAGTGCGCCGCGGTTGAGGGCGAACTCCTGAGTAAGTGCGTGAATCTGAAGACGCTGAGCTGCGCGTCGTGCGGGTTGACGACGCTCAGTGGGTTCCCGGCGTTGCCGTCGCTGCAAGATTTAAGCCTGAACGATAATCGAATCTCGAGCGGTCTGGACGCGTTGGGCGGGTGCGAAAAGCTCGTGCAGTTATCGCTGGCGAATAATAAGATCGCGAGCGTGGACGACGTCAAGGTTTTGGGCGATAAGCTCACGCTGACGGTTCTTGAGCTCGAGGCAAACCCGCTGACTGAAGACGAGACGTATCACGAAAAGGTGATGAAGCTCTGCCCGACGTTAAACCTGTTGGACGGCCGAGACGAGTTCGGGAACGAAGTCGACGATGACGACGAAGACGACGAAGACGACGAAGACGAAGACGAAGACGACGAAGACGACGAAGACGACGAAGACGAAGACGAAGACGAAGACGTCCAAGAAATGGGCCTCAAGGACCTCTACGGCGACGAACCGCTCGAGGACGATGACGACGACGACGAGTTCGACGACGACGACGAGGACGACGACGACGAAGATGATTTGATCGTAGAAGACGAAGACAGCGACGACCAGGATGATGACGACGAGGCACCGGCGAAGAAGGCGAAGAACTAAGGTATCCACGGTCGAAAGGTAAAATGTACGCGCGCGGACGTCCTCGCGGTTCGACGTCTTCGCGCGCGTCGCAGCTCGAAGTGAACACCCTTCTCTCGCCATTTCGCGCGTTGCAGATTAGATTTTGTTGTTTGTAGTGTCATCACGCGTCTCATCACGCGCGTCACGCGAGATCGGTGATTCAAACGCCCCGACGCGCGAAGGCTCCGCTCTCGAAAGCGCAGCGCGTCCATATAGTGTTACAAAGGATTCACCGCCCGCGACTCGCTCGCGAGCGCCCGAAGACGTCTCGAGATCGAGCGCGCTCGGACTACAACAAAAAAAACTCAACGCGTACACCGCACCCATCGTCGTCGCCACCGCCGTCCGTAGCGTCCTCACACCAAATCGCTCCCGTACGAACCGCCGAGCAATCGCTGCGCCTCCTCCCCCCCCCGCGCTCGCCGCGCCAGGACCCAGCTCGCCATTCCCGCCAGGACCACACCCACGGCCGCGATCGCCACCACCGGGACCGCCATCGTGTACGAGCCGATCGCGATCGTGTACGATCCGAGCGCGCTCACGCTCTCGCCCACCGCGGTCGCCCCCGCGCCGAGCGCGCTCGTGATTCCACCCGTCGCCGCCGTCGCCCCGCTCGCGCCCGTGAGCGACATCGTCTCCGCGATCGCGGTCGCGGTGAGGGCGCCGCCCATGTCGCGCGCGCGTCGCTCACGGCGCGTCGACCGACGCGACGGCCCCGCGTCGCGCGCGATGGCTGGCGACGCTGTGCGTATTCAGTCGCCGTGTACGCCATGTATGGGCGTGACACGCGGTGTGTACGTATTCAGTCATCGTGTACGCCATGTATGGACAGCACGCGACGCATCCAATATTCAGTCGCCGTACACGCCATGTATGGACAGTACGCGACGCATCACATATTCAGTCGCCGTACACACTATGTAAGAACATCCGTGGCACCACACACGCGACGCCGCGCGGCGCGACGCGCATTCGTCCCCCGCGCGACGCTCGCGCGCGCGCGCGTCGACGATGCCGCCGCGGTTCGCGCGCGCGCTCGTGCGTCGGTGTCTCGATCGACCCGCGGCGCCGACGCGGTGGACGGCGCCGACGGGGCGAACGATCGCGGCGGCGAGATGGATGGCGATGGCGACGACGACGACGACGACGACGACGACGACGACGACGACGACGGGACGGACGCGATGGACGACGCCGACGACGATGATGACGCCACCGATGCGATCGCTCGTGATGGCGGACATGGGGATCGGGGCCACGCGGACGTTCGCGAGCGACGCGACGCGCGCGGCGAAGACCTCGACGGAGGCGGAGGACGCGAGCGACGCGGGCGAGGACGCGGACGCGGCGATCGATCAGGGGGTGATGGCGGTGCGATGGACGGTGCCGGAAGAGCAAGGGAGTGCGCGTGATGTCGTGGTGCCGATGCACGGGTGGGACGGGAGCGTTCGGGGAGAGGCGACGCTCCCGGGACGGATATTCGATCAGCCGCTTCGAGTGGACGTCGCGCATCGCGTCGTGCGGTGGCAACGAGCCAAGGCGCGGGCGGGGACGCATAAGACGAAGACCAGGGGAGAGGTGTCGGGGACGACGCGTAAGGCTCGACCGCAAAAGGGACAAGGGCGAGCGCGCGTGGGGATGCTTCGCGCGCCGCAGATGCGCGGCGGAGGCGTCGCCCACGGACCGGTGCCGCGCTCGCACGCGTACGCGTTACCGAAAAAGGTTCGACGCATGGGGCTCAAAGTGGCGCTCAGCGCGCGCGCAGCGGAGGGCAAGATCGTTATCGTGGATTCATTCGCGGGTATGGAGCCGAAAACGCGCGTGATGAAGGAGACGCTCGAGAGGTTGACTGGGGACATGGGCTTGGCGGCGGGCGGTAAGTTTCACTCGACGCTCATCGTGGACGGTGAGTTCGAGGAGACGAGCGAAGAGGACGACGACGAAGAAACGTATTCACCAAACGAGATTGTTCGCATCTCGTCTCGAAACCTCCCGCACGTCGAGGTCTTGCCGCAGATCGGCGCCAACGTGTACAGTATTTTGCGTCGGCGCACGCTCGTGATGACCAAGAGCGGATTAGAGCAGCTCATTCGGCGCTTGGACGAGCCGATCAGGAGGTAGAGTTTAGAATCGTTTGCGAATCTTTAATATGTCGAATTAGTTGCATCATATCACATCACCACGTCAAGTACATGTCCTTGGTGTAGCCCAGCTCCTCGAGCGCGGGCAAGACTGCAAACTTGAGCATGGGCGGCGGACCGCAGATCAAAATTTGCGTCTTCTTCCCCGGTGGCGGCATAGTTTTCTGTATCATCTCCTTTGTGATGAACCCGCCAAATTGCTTCCAATCCTTCGGCGGCTTATCGAGCGTGTAAGCGGCGCGAAACTTGCTCTCGCCGTACTTTTCGACGTCGCGCTCAATCTCCTCGCGACACAAAATGTCCGCCTCCGTCTGATTCGCGAACAATAAACTGATGTTCACGTCATCACCATCACCTAACATCGCCCGCGAGACCTGTAACATGGGCGTGATCCCGGATCCACCCGCGATCATGCCGACGTTTGCGCACCGTCGCCGGTCGAAACCGCCCCCTTGCGACTTCAACAAACGAACGCTGAACACCCCATTGCCCTCGTACGTCTTCATACCCTTCGGCCCAGCGAACGTGGCTGTATCACCAACCTTTAATTTCCCCAAGAATTGACTCACCTTTCCCCCGAGCGGGAACTTTTCGCACGGCGCGTACACCTTGATCACCAACTCTACCACTCCAAAGTCGTAATCACTGCTCGTCGGCGTGTACGGCCGCTCATGTCGCGCCCCGTCGTCGTCCAAGAATGAAATTCCCACGTGTTGTCCCGTGGGTAATCCCAAGACGTGCGATTTCGACGGTAAATCGAACGTCAGCCGCACCGTATCCGGAGAGATTTGCTCGCGTTTGGCCAACGTCAGCTCGACCGACGCCTTAGATTCAGCGTTCAGCGCCTTGGGCGCCGACGCGGCCGCCGCCTTACGTTCGCGAACCTGTCGTCGAGCAGCCATTCGCGCCCGACGTGCCGGAGAAAAGAAACGAACGAGCACGAGGTCGAGCACGATTAAGATCACCGTCATGAAGATCCCACTCACGGTGACCACGTTCACGAACTCGTTCGTGCCGAACTTTGGGAGCGTCAACGCACCCGTCTTCGCATCGAACAGGCTATCGGGGAGCGCGAAGACGTCACCGAGCGTGAACGCGCCCGCGGGCGCGCGCGCGGGCGCCATGGTCGTCGACGTGCGACGCGACGGCGCGCGCCGACGTCGGCGCGCGTCCGGCTTCAAAAGTACCCGTAATCTTCGCCACACCTCATCCAACGGGAGAACAAGTATACATCCTTTGCCGCTTTGTGCATAGTTAACGCACCGTTGGTCTAGTTGGTTATGACGCTCGCCTCACACGCGAGAGGTCTCCGGTTCGAACCCGGAATGGTGTACAATAACTTTTTTGAGCGTATCAAAATGTTTTTTTCACATGAACTCGTTTTCGACTTATTAGGGTTTATTTTCATGAAATATGTAAGACGCAGCGTCGCGGCCGTCGACGCGTCGCGCCGTGGCGCCAGACGCGCGCGCGATGGAGCTCCGCGCGGTCTCGTCGCGCGCGTCGACGTCGCGAACCCGCGCGGGATGGTCGGCGCCCACGCCTCGAGCGGCTCGAACGACGTGTCGTCGACGCACCGTCGCGGACGCGACACGGGAAGATGAAGAAGCGCGCCGGCGGCCGGCTCGACATTACGTCAACCTGAAGAACGGCGTCGAGGCCTTACCGTTCATCCGTGACGTCATGCACGTTCGACGGTACGATTACTGCCGAATTCAAAGCTCCCTGCTCGAGGCGGGGCACGTCGAGCGCGTGATCACGGAGCTGGACTCGAGTTTGTTGTTGGACCTCGCGCTCGGCCGCGCGTGCTTCGTGTGGGATTACGGAAGCCGCGACGTGGTCAAGGGAAAGGGGAATCCGCGAGCGCTGTGGTACGGGTTGGAATTTGTGCGGTACGCGCTGCGAAAGGAGTGGTTCCCGGGGACGGAGGTGGCGGAGAAGGCGATCGCGGTGACGCGCGGGAAACGCGTGGACCAAGACTTTGACCGAAAACTCACAATGTTGGATCGATCGACCAAGCGGAAGATTCGGTACTATCGACAGTTCATCCCAGAGAGCGTGAGTGATGTGCGGTTGATCGGGGTGTACAGGGCCACGACGCACGACGATGACACGGAGTTTTATCGCTCGGTGTTGCACGCGAATGAGTTGACGAACGAGTTGTTCACCTCGGACGCACCGCCGTCACCGAGGTACGAGGCGGAAACGATCGAGGCAATCGAACGCTTGGGTAAGGGTGAGTTTAATTTGTACTTCAGCGGCGCCGAGGAGCCCGCGTGGTTGAATCAGAAGGCGCGTTGAGAATGTAACAATTTATGTGCGATAAAAGCAGCCAGCTAGTTAGAATCCTATGTTGTAAATGTAGCTAGTGTGTAGAGGAGACAGTACGACAAACACGACCATGACGGTGCTATCTTGTGTTTGTTTCGATTTCCCTCACGTCTTCTTCCCAAAGTAGCTCGTGATTGAGTTTTTCTGACCGGCGCCGACGCCGCCTTTTCGTTTGCCGAGGAGCGCGCTTCCGGCAGCTGCGCGGTTGCCTCTGTGACTCGTTTCACCCCTCATCGACGCTCGAATCTCGCGTTGGATTTCTTCCGGCAGCTCGGCTAACACAGAGGCATCGATTTGATCCGCCTTGATCGGACTTGCCGCCGGCGTCGCGAGCCTTGAGCCTGTTGTTGACTTCGCATTCTTCAACATCTCTGCTACGTCGCCACTCTCCCGCTCGAGGGTCACGAAATTCGACGCCGAGACGGACATGCCGGTGATCGACCAGTCCGATCGACCGCTCGACCATTTCGATATGAGCGCTAGGGCGTCTTGGGTGATCTCATCCGCGCCCAGTCGCATCGGACACCGTCGCGAACAATGCCCGCTGTTCGTGTTCAACTCGTCTGGCGAAGACAGACCGAGCGTCAAGAGCTTGGGCTCGCGATTCCACTCGTCGCGATCGTCTTCACATCGATCGTTGAGCTCGGCGGCGAGCTCGGCGAGCCATTTTTTCGCGGACTCGAGCGAACGAATTGCCAGAGCGCCTCGAAACGTTTTCCCAGTGCCGATGCTCTTCGGCATCTCGCGCTCTTTCACCGGATCATCGTCCTGGCCGAGTGAAACCTTTCGCACCCACTGCGCTCGTTCTTCGCCGCATATTTCCTCCAGCTTACGAATGGGTGTGCGTGCGAGCTCGCCGATCGTCTTCACGTCGAGCCCTTCGACGAGTTCGCGACCAAACTTGGCGCCCAAACCGCGAATTCGATCGATCGGCAGCTCTGCCAACAAGGCCTCGGTGTGATCGGGGCAAAGCACCGTCTGCGACGCCGGTTTATTCATTCCGCTCGTGAGCTTGGCGAGCATTTTGTTCGTGGCTATTCCCGCGCTCAATGTGTACCCCAATTCGTCCACGCACGCCTTTCTCAAATTGTGGCAAATGTAGGCACCAGCCGCGAGGAGCTTCTCGGTCTCTCCCCACGCGCTCTCCTCGCGATCCCACCACGCCAGTGACGCCTCATCAGGTGGACGAGGTCGGTAATTTCGCATGCGTTCCTCTTCCTCGTCCACGGGTTCGGCCTCCGTCTCTTTCTCCAACTCTTTCTCCGTCTTCTCATCCGTGACACCACTCGTCGACGCCGCGCACGCCTCCACGGCGGCTTGCGGCCCATCCGCGGACCCAGCTCGTAAACTCGCCTTACTCACGAATCCCTTCCCCCCGATGGGCGCCGCGCCCGCGACGTGCGCCTTCCTCGCCGTCGCCAACACCTCGCGCCACTCCGTCTCCGCGAGCGTCCTTCGCGCGTTCGCCGTGAGATCTAAGTACGCCTCATCGATGCTCGCGCGCTCCATCACCCCCCCCCGGCTCAGTATTCTCGCCACCGCCGCCCCCGCTCGTCTGTACGCCGTCAAATCCGCCTTACTCCGTCGCGTCGGCACCTGCACCACCACCGCGCCGTCGCCGCACAGGCGCCGCGCGTCGATCGCCCGCATGTTCCGCTTCACCCCACGCGCGCGCGCCTCGTAGGACACCGCGATGAGAGAGTGTCGCTCCAATCCATCCCGAAGGATCCGTCGCGCGCCCTGGTCACGCGTTCGCACGCCACCGCGTTCGAATGGATCGTACTGCGCGACGACGAGCGGGACGTTGACGTCGATTCCGTGCGCCGCGCGCTCCACCTGGCAGTAAAACGCGTCCAGGTCGAGGTGGGCGACGACTCTGACGTCGGCGCGCATGCGCGCGCGCGCGCGCGCGTCCGCGTCGGCGTGTGCGCGCGGAGATGCGGGCGTCAGATTTTGCCATCGCGTAACGACCGCGTCGATGCGATCGTCGGCGTCCACCGCGCGCGCGGGGTCGATTGGACGGCGCACCGCGCGCGCGCGCGGTGGAGGACGATCGGCGCGCGCGCGGGCGAGCCCGGGGACGTCCAAGCGCGTGCGAGAGCTGCGAGACGAGGGCGCGTACGCGGTGGGCGACGCCGCGCGGGCGCTGGAACGCCGCGGACGGCGCGTGGTGCGGTTGGAGATCGGCCAGCCGCAGTTTGAGACGCCGGAGAACGTGTGCGAGGCGGGGGTGGGGGCGATCGAGCGCGGGGAGACGCGGTACAGCGCCCCGGCGGGGACGGCGGCGCTGCGCGAGGCCGTTCGCGGATACGTCGCGCGGACGCGAGGGGTGACGTACGACGTCGACGAGGTGATCGTCGGTCCGGGGGCGAAACCGGGGTTGTTCTTGCCCGCGCTCGCGATCGTGGACGAGGGCGATGAGGTGGTGTACCCCGATCCGGGGTTTCCGACGTACGCGGCGATGGTTTCGACGGCGGGCGGGACGCGGGTCCCGGTCGCGCTCACGAACGATGGCTCGAGCTTCGACATGGACGCGCTCGAGCGAGCGGTGAACGAGAAGACGAAGATGATCGTGATTAATTCGCCGGGGAATCCCACGGGTGGGGTGATGCCGCGGGCGGACGTCGAGCGCGTCGCGGCGCTCGCGAAAAAGTTCAACTGCTGGGTGCTGAGCGATGAAATTTATTCCAGGCTTCGATACGATGACGATGGAAACGGAGCTAGCGAGAGTGATGATGGACTAGAGGACATATTCTCCATCGCGGCCCTGGATGGGATGAAGGAGCGCACGATTTTGGTCGACGGGTTCTCGAAGACGTATTGCATGACGGGATGGCGCCTCGGATGGATGTGCTGCCCGAAAGCCCTCGCCGAGAGAATCCGACTCCTCACCGTGCACTCGGTCGGATGTGTCGCACCGTTCACCCAAGCCGCAGGCGTTGAGGCGCTGACGGGACCTCAAGATTCTGTTCGCGCCATGCGAGAGGAGTACCGCGCTCGAAGAGACTACCTCGTTGACGCCCTGAACGCGATCCCTGGGATTCGATGTCCGAAACCCCAAGGCGCCTTCTACGTCTTTCCTGAGTTCACATACGATTGCACCGCCAAGGAGCTCGCCGATTACCTCCTCGAGGACGCCGGCGTCGCCCTCTTACCCGGAACGGATTTCGGAGTCCGAGGCGAGAAGCACTTACGTCTCTCCTACGTCGGTTCCATGGACGACCTCCGCGAGGCCGTGGCGTTGATGACCACCTCCTTACGTCGTAAATTCCCCGCGAGCTTCGATTCGATGTGATTCCATCCCTCCGCGCCCCTCGGCGTCCGTCCGCGCGTCGCGCGCGCAATCGTCTCACACGCGGACCCTTTGACGTGCGTAACACCCTCCCGAGGACACATCGTCGCGACGCGCGCACATCCTCGCGCGTCCGTCGCCGAGACGCGCCGAGCGGCGTCCCGAGCACCGACGTCGACCTCGATCGTTCTCCGCATCGATCGTTCGCCCTCGGCGTCGTCGTCGTCGAGGCGCGGCGACGGAAGATCGCTCGAAAGACGTCGCCCGCGCGGACGATGATGGAAAACGATCACTCGGCCGACGTCGAGCGCAGATCAGCGGGCGCGAGAGCGGAGGAGACGTCGAGCGAACGAACGGAGATGCGATCTCGCGCGTCGCGCTCGACGAGGGGTGGACGTTGGACGCTCGCGGTGACGTGCGCGCTGGGCGCGCTGAGCGCGCGGGGCGCGAGGGCGCAGACGCCGCCGACGGACGCGGCGTGTGATTATTACATGCAGGTTGGTGGCGCGGGAGAGGCGGCCTCGGGCGGTGGGACGTCGGATGTGCCGTTTGGATCGTTGGAAGAGGCGCAGCTCGCGTTGACGGCTGGGGACACCCTGTGCGTACGAGGCGGGCAGTATCGGCTCAACACCTTCATCGGGGCTGAGATCTTGGTCAGAGGGAACGCGACGCATCCGATCACGATTAAAGGCTTAAAAGGGAGCGATGGGAATTTACCGACATTTCTCTTCAAGAGCGGCGTCGCGTTCGATTTCCGAGGCGCCAAGTATATCAACTTTGAGAGCTTGGACGTGGACGGGAGCGCGTACAACGTGCCGCTCAGAGCCGTCTTGACCGCCAACTGGTGGCGAGACAAACCGTCACCTCGGGTTAAGATTGGACAGACGTGCTTCAGATTGCGCGAAAATACGCGACATGTCAACATCTCGCACTGCGCGTGCCACGATGTGCACAGTAATGCGGTGAACGTCGTTGACGCCTACTACACGAGGATAGCGCACAATGCTTTTTACCGCATTGGATTTTATCGGTTCAAAGGTGAAGTGGCCGCGGTGAAACGAACGTTCGTGAAGGCTTCGCAGGAAGTAGAGGAAGATGGATATCGCTTAGACATCGAGGGGAACGTGATTTGGAACGTCGAGTCCCACTTGTACCAGCGCACGGAAAACGCCTCGACTGGGAACATCTTGGAGACCAACGCTTTGAATTTTGATTCAGTGACGGACCTCGATTCGAAGATCCGAGTGCAAGGAAACCTCTTGGCTTTCAATGGTGGTCCTGACCTGAAGTTCAAGAATGCGCCGTACCTCGTCGTGATGAGTAACACGATGCATGCGTCTCCTACGGTGGACTCGGTCATGATCTCGGACGGCACTTCCGACACCTCGAGGTTAATCATGAAGAATAATATGTTCTTTGCGACTCAGTCGAGCAAGTCAGTGATCGATATCGATGTTTCGATGTTGAACTCAACGATTTCGGACGACGATACGATCCTAAATAACTTTGTCAGCGGCGGTGGCGGGTTCGTAAACGGGACGCAAGCTGGCTTTTCCGTCATCGATGCGAGCGAGCCAGTATTCGCGAACGTCAGCGCTGGTGATTTCCGCATCCTCTCCACGACGACGGGCGTCGATGCGACAGACATGCCGGGTGTGAGTGACAGCTCTCTGCTCAAAGTAGCCGAGTTATTGGGGGACTTCAACATTGGAACCGTCGCTGAGAGTGAATGGTCAGCTGCGGGAGGTATCCCTCACAAGAACATCACACAAATGTTGATCTCCACAGCGCCTTCGTCTTACACAGACGTCACTTTTACGCAAACAAGTCGTGATGTGGCATTTATCACCTTCCGCGATCCTTTGGCTGAAGACGTGTTCACGTTTACTCTCAATCAGGAGTACGCTCAAAGCCTCTTCGACCGCAACATCTCCGCGTTGGTGGACACCACGCCCGCTGGACGAACGGAGCTCGAAGCGAGACTGGGGTCGAAGAGACGGCACAGGCGCGTACGCTCGCGAGTTCTATCGTTAGGACAGGCGGACGATGAAGATATGTCGGTACAATCGGAGAATGAAGAAATGTATTTGGATGACACAGAGGCGGATCGGGAAGTGTCAGAGGACCCGACGCTGGGAGAGAATACGCAAGAAATGGAAGAATCGGATGTTGGCTACCCGGCGAGCGAAGATACGGATGCGACACCGATCGGCCAGACGAAGAGTAACAACTACCCAGCGAGTGGCTACCCAGCGAGTGGCTACCCAGCGAGTGGCTACCCAGCGAACAATTATCCGGCGAACAATTATCCGGCGAACAATTATCCGGCGAACAATTATCCGGCGAACAATTATCCGGCGAACAATTATCCGGCGAACAATTATCCGGCGAACAATTATCCGGCGAGGAGGGGATACCCGGGGAACAAATACCCAGGGAACAAATACCCAGGGAGCCGTAGGGGCTACCCGAATGGATATCCCGGGTCTGGTTACCCCGCTGATGAAGCCAAGGAAATTAGAGACGCCACGCACGAAGCAGTGAGTGCTATCGCAAACGCTACGAGAGAGGCAACGGATGAAATCGCTCGAACAGAACAACAGGCGGTTCACAATGCAACGCATGCTATCTCGGACGAAGTGCGCAACGCGACTGATGCCATCACGGACGCTTTGGACATTCCAAATCCGCCACCCCCAAAGGCACCAAGACCACCGCCGAATCCGTCCCCGCCACCGCCGCCGCCGCCGTACCCAGGAACGGTGCAGCCACCGTCGCCGCCTATGCCGCCAGCGCCGCCGAGAATCGATCCTGAAGGAGGGTTGAGGCGTGGACGAATCGTCATTCCGATGAAGGACCCGCTCAGCAATTTCTTGCTGGAGAGAATAGAACAACAAAACGCCTCATCCATGAGTTTGGATGATCCGGATGAAGATGTCTCAGAAATTGAAGACCTGGAGACGTCGTGTTACAATCCGCCGAAAGCGTGTCCTACGATATTCCATCTTTCACCATACAGAGCGCAGCAGTTGGTGCAGAATGTGCAGTCCTCCACGAGCACCCCCGAGGCGGCTCTCGCCGCGTCTTACGATCGCGGTGCCAACACAAGAAAACGCTACGTGCGTGAGTACGATCCGTACCAATCCGTCGATGAAGACGATAGTCCTTACGGGCCTGATCTTGATCGGGCGTTCCTTGCCGCGCTTGGAATGCAGAAGCAGTCTGCATTCAAGTCGAGCGAAATCATCGCGCCGATGGCAGTCGCTTTCGTGATCGTAGCGGCTGTTGTTGCGGGTGAGAGGTTCAGCAAGCGTTCAAAGGGTGAGGAGCGCGCGTCTTTGCTGATCAATGCGGACAGAGAGTCAGAACAAATGAAGACGACGAGAACAAGGCGCAATATTATAGCGGCCTCGGCTCTGGCGGGTGTCTTCCTTGTCGCTGCGACGACGTCCACCGCTCCGGGTGCTGCGGCGATGAAGCGCGCCAGGCAGGAAGTGACGCAGCTCGGATCAAAACTTGCGGATTGCGGTGGTAAGTTTTACGTCGTCAACATGCCGTTCTCCTCGTGCGCTGTCAAGGGAAGTGATATCCCGCAGGGCGCTAGACCGTTCCCTCTTGAGGATTTCATCAAGTTCGAATCATTCGTCGTTGCGCGACTCAGTTGGGGCGGGTTTTGGTCAATGAAGACGTCTGGTTACGAAGTGCGTTCTGCCGCTCGTGCCCATGTTGTTGAGCAGCTTAAGGTGAAGAATGAGCTAAATATCACGAATGGATTGATGCAGTATCACCGTCAGTGCTTGCGCACGAAGACGTGGTGTTTGGAAGAGGGGCGAGACAACGCGTGTTGCAGAGACATGCCGGTGACACCCGCCGAGGCGCAACAGGAGGACGAGCTGACGTTTGACACGTACCACTCCATCCTCCGCAACTTGTGTGGTTGTTCGCTTCTGATGGAGAAGACTCCCGTCGGATGCGGTCAAATTGACAAGGAGGGTCGTGACTTGTACTGCGACAGGATGCGCGTCCTGGGCCTCGACCAAGGACTCAATTCTTGTTGCAACGCCCCGAATCCGTTTAGAGTTCAAGAGTGTCTCTGCAGGGGAGATGATAGTAACTACTTGTCGTACACGTAAGCGTAGGATCACGTAGTAGAGTTGAAAATCAAATGAATGTATCTCATAAAAATTAGGCGATCTATCTCGCGCATGGAAAGTCGTTCTTCGCATCGCCTCCTCGCGCTTCGTGCAGCGCTCCACACCGTGCGGCAAAGCCATGAACGTCCGATCTTCTGGGACACCAAACTCGATCACTCCATTCCCGCCACACCACCCTCCGTGATCTGAAACTCCGCCTCGTCTTCCTTCAGCGTCGGACCTTGAAGGACCTTTATCACTCGAGCCTCGGCACGCCCTTTGCGGACTTGGAGACGAATCGTGCTCGCGTGTGCCAATACATGACCACCGATTGGCTTCTTCGGCTCGACTCCGGCGAAAGCCATACCACCAGGATCCGATTGCACTTGATTTGTGAGCACAACCGCGACATTAAACTCCTCCGCAAGCTTGCGTAAACGACTGAGAAACTGATTCAAGGTTTGCTGACGCTCTGAGAGTTCCCCACGCGCAACGTAGTCGACTCTGAAGATTGCCATAATGCTATCGACAATCAAAAGCTTGAAAGGCTCTTCCGCCATCTTAGCACCGATGGCAATCAGAGCTTGCATCATTTGATCCACGGTATCGACACGAGCCACCATGACATTTGATAACACGGCGTCGCGATCAAGACCAAATCGGTCAGCGATCGCCTCTAGACGATCACTTCGAAACGTATTTTCGGTGTCGATCCACGCAACTTTCGAACAGCCTCCGCCCATTTCGATCGGCATTTGCGTCGTAACGGCTAAAGTGTGACAAATTTGCGTCTTTCCGCACCGCCATTCGCCGAATATCTCCGTGATGGCTCGCGTCTCAAATCCCCCGTTCAGAATTGCGTCGACAGCCGCAGCGCCACACGTGATGTGCAAGACGCCCTTTCGCCGCTCGCAATCCTCGGCTGCGGTAATAAAGCCGCCTGATTCACTCTCTGGTAGCATTTTCAGCGCGCTCTCCAGGACTTTATCCGCCTTGGCGTCGGAGAATCCCTTGACAGCTACGATATTCTTGCGCGGAAACATTACGAGCTGTCGAATCGTAGAGAAACCAGCCGCCTTGAGTTTGTTTACATCCGTGGCCGAGATCCCCGCTTGCTGCAGCTCGTCGATGAGCAAAATCGTAGATTGCTCGTCCGTAAACACGGCGCCGGCGTCTTCGTCCACGTTCACCCTACGAGCGGTATTTGCAAGCAACGCGGCGTCAGTCTCGGGGCGCGTGACGCGCGCATTTGCCGCACGTCGCCCAATCTTCACCCGCTCCCGCACCCGCACCGGAACGAATTTGAACAGACGATTTAAATACAACGTACATCGGCTCCGCCTCGGCCTCGGCCGCCTTTTTACGCTTCGTCGCGGTTGCGGACATGCTTCACTGCGCTCGTACAGAGTACGGGTGCCTCGTTTGCCTTCCCCGCGCGCGTTCTTCTTCCTTCCCCGCGCGCGTGACTTGTGCGGTATCCACTTCAAGCGGTCTCAGGATATGCGTGCGTTCGTTCGCGTTCGTCGTCGGCGTGCACGGACTTTTTGCTCGACGAAGATTGAGCGTCGAGTTGTGCGGTCAGCGGCGCCGCGAATCGATTGGCGCGCAACAAAGGCGAATGGTTCCAACGGTGTCGTTTCAATCCTACGAGTGTCTCGCGATCGCCTTGGTGATGCGATCGATGAATGTGTCGTCCTCAATGAGTTCTAGTAAGGCTGCGCGCACGGCGGCGGGTTTGACGACCGCCATGGCGGTTGTCGCCACTGACGCCGATTTCGATCGCGTCGCGCGTGGCGCCTCCGTGGACGTCCCCATAACCTTACGCGGTGGCTGTAACACGCGCGGGACCGTAGTACCGTTCGATCCATTCACGACGCTTGCCTTCACGTCTCTCTTTGGATTCTCGCCTCCGCTCACGCTCGCAGACGCGAACAACGCGCTCAGAGAATCGCTCGTCGCCCGTTCGTCGATCGAACCGCCCGCGCTCACCGAACCAACGCTCGACCCAGACATCACCCGCTCGAACGCTTCACACATCGTTTCGCACTCACTTTCGTCGTGAAACCATATCCCGTGCACCTCTCTTCCAACTCGATACATGAGGTACGGAGGCGACCGCTCGAGCTCAAACGCCTCGCCGCCGATCTCCCGCGTAAAGTTCTCGCTCCCGGCTCTGTTCAGCACCACGAACGCATCGCGCGGCGCGCTCGATCGTCGCACGACGAACAGCGCACCCTCCACGCTCTTTCGCACCCACGATCGGGAGTTCACGTCGAATCCATACAGCACGCAGTGCTTGGACTGCGCGACGATGGATTCGATCGACGCGTCCGACGCTCGCAGCACCGTCAAATTCATCTCCGCGTGCGCGTCCACCGGTGCGCTCGCTCGCGTCTCCGCCTCCCTCGGCTTCACCGTTCGCGGCGGCATCGTCGCTCGACGGCACGCGCGTCGATCTGTGTCGACGCGTCGTCGATCGCACGCGTGTCTCCGCATCCGCACTTCATGCTCGCCGCGTGCGCGCGAACGCTCCGCGCGCGCGTCGCCGCGTCGAGCGCCATCGCGCGGGCGAGAGAGATGGCGACCGCTGGGGCGCCCCCGCGGGCGCCCGCGCATCTGTGCGTGGTGACGAGCGAGGCCTTGCGGGGGTCGAACACGCTGCGGAGGATCGAACGGGAATGCGCGGACGGGGCGTTCGCGAGCGTCACCGTCGGAAGCGCGCGCGAGGATTTCGAACGCGTGCTGAGCGATGGACGAGGTGGGTCGATCGCGATGCTGTGGTGGTTCGCGAATAGGGAGCTGACGGAGGGGTTCGCGAAGGACGCGCGCGTGCTCGAGCGAAAGACGTGGACGCACAGCGGAAGCGCGGGTGTGGATCATTTGTTGGCGATACCGGCGCTGCGGGAACATTCGAGCGTGATGACGAACGGGCGGGGGGCGTTCAGCGCGAGCCTGGGGGAGTGGGGGGTGTTCGCGTGCATGCACTTCGCGAAGGGGGTGGATATTTTTCGGAACGCGCAGAGAGAGGGTAAGTGGATTCGGAGAACGGTCGGGATGATCGAGGGGAAGAGGATGTGCGTCGTGGGATACGGGGATATCGGACAGCACGTCGCGCGAAGGGCGAAGGCGATGGGGATGCGCGTGAGCGCGGTGAGACGGTTTCCTGAGAAGACGTCGCCGAACGACGATTCGGTAGAGAAAGTCTTGGCGTTCAACGCGATCAAGGAAGCGGTGAGCGACGCGGACTACGTCATCGTCGCGCTGCCTTCAACTGATGAGACGAAGAATTTCATCGATGCCGGCGTTTTGGGGGCAATGAAGAACAGCGCCGTGATCGTGAACCTCGGTCGCGGGTCCACGGTTGACGAGCCGGCGCTCGTCGAGGCGTTGAAGTCTAAGACGATCGCCGGTGCCGCTCTTGACGTATTCGCGGTCGAGCCGCTGCCGAAAAATCACCCCTTCTACGAGATGGAAAATGTGCTCATGAGTTTCCACTGCGCGGATTTGACGGACGATTACCACGACTTGGCAATGGACTGCTTCGTCAAGCACGCCGAGCAGTTCGCCACCGGTGCGCCGTTCACCAACGTCGTCGATAAATCTCTCGGGTACTAGTAATCACAAGCATCGCGTAGTAAATGAATATTGTGGATTTGAGTAATAGCCTCGATGGGGGCTCTTGTTGTGTTGCAATATCAATCTTCCAGACCTGTCCTAAAACTTGGATTTGTCAACAAACCGCAAGTCCTCCGCGCTCACATCGTACGTCTTCACGATCAGCTCCCCGAGCTGCTCCGAGTAATCCCCTTGCAAATCCAGTTCATCCTTCCCCGTCGCCCCCTTGGTGACGCTGCATCCGCACGCGAACTTCTTCCCGAACGCCTTGCTCGCCTCCTTCAGGTCCACGTCAAACTTTTCCAACCCCGCGACGTTCGTGATCATCTTCCTTCTGTTCCTCGACATGCGCGTGATCACCACCTCCTTCGCCTTGGACTTTGACTTCTTACCGCTCTTCGTCTTCGTACCGTCTTCGCTCGCGTCGCCGCCCGTCTCGCTCGTCGTCGTCGTCGCCTGTTCGCTCGACGCTTTTTCTTCTAACTTCACATCGCTCAACTTCTCCGCCGCCCCGCGCGCACACGCGACGTTTTCGCAGTACTCCAAAGGGCACGTGCACGTGGAGCAGTACTCCACCTCGATCGGGTCCATCGCGAGCGCGCCCGAACGCCTCGTCTGCGCGTCGTCGTCTGCGGCGTGAAGAATGTTTCTTCAGAAAAACGAAAAACACACCGCTCGCGCCGCCGCAGTCGTCGACGCGACGCCCGCGCGACGCGCTCGAGCGCGCATCATGCCGACGGACGACGACGCGTCCGTGCGGTCGACGCGCGGCGGCGATGCGACGACGCGCGGCGCGATCGAGGAC